CCGGGGGTTGGGGACCACTGATCTATTGTAGAGCAGAGCCACAATAACAAACCTCTGATCACACTTCCTTTGTGCAGCTCTAGCCTGTGCAGCTTATTTCAGGGTTCAGAGCAACTGGTTGCTTTTTATCAGAAAATTAACAAGGCAGTGCCTCCCCCTGCCTTCAGATGTGTGAACCATAGACTGTATATGAAAATGGTCAACATGACAGTTCCCAGAAGTGAAGCCACAACAAATTGATCACCTCCTGGTGGTTGGTTGCATAAACCCAGCCCCCACCATGTTAGCAGATGGGACATGAGCCAAAGTAAAAAAAAAAATCTGTTAATATTCTTTTAATAAGATGACATATAAAGAATCAGAATCAGCTTTATCGGCCAGGTGTGTCAGACACACGAGGAATTTGAATCTGGTACACCGGCTCTCAATGTGTACGTACATATTCCCATGCAATGGGCAAGTAAACAGTAAACCAGCATAAGGCTGTGTAATATAACAAAATAAGCAGTATTAACAAGCAACAAACAGTGAAAGCAATGCAAAATAAGCAGTATAGACAGGCAGTAAACAATACAGACAGACAAAGGACTGCTCGTTGTGGAATGGGATAAGTAGGAATAAAAATAGAGTACTTAAAACTAGAGACCTATACGATTCTGTATAATCCGTATTATGAGCCCCCTGTAAAGGGATGTATTTCTGAAGATTTGACAGCTTTGATCGCTGCTTTAATACGTCATACAACTTCTCTCTATTGCAAAAAAATGGGTTGCAAAATGCATCACAAATGCAAGATGGCAGCCCCTGAACTCATGATATTTTGGCTTCACTTTTGCACAAAGTGGTAGGAAGTGGCGGCACATCATGGTGATGTGTTCTCAATCTTTATATATAGTCTATGGTGTGAATGCACTGGAACAGTGACTCATTGTTACCCAGGTCCTCCCTACCAGTTAGTCTGGCCATGCCACAGTGTGCACATCCGGTCTTATGAGGACTAGATGGTAGATTACATTAAGGCCGACTGTGAAATGAATCATTACATTAACAAAATGCAATATATGGAAACCCTGAAGTTTTTTTAAATTTAATAACTGAGATTACTGACATTTAGAGACAGCCGCTCCTCTATTTGATCTATTTAAATATCGTATGGTATCCATGCTCATATTTTATCGAGGTAGTTGCAATATTATTTTCCTTTCAAGAATATTTGTAAGATAATAGTAGGCTACTTGTCTGCCATTGTATTTTTTTTCCGACGGCACGTGAAGGCAGCAGCAGTTGCAGGTTATTTGTTCTCTCCAGCAGGAGGGCGTTTCTCGGAGCGACACACAAGTACAGTGTTTTGAATTACAGCGGTGTAACTTACTGGTTCCTATTTAGATACTGTCCAAGCTTAGGTTTGTCTGAATAGCTTTTAGCACTCGGCTCAGGCTCTTCCTTCATGTTAGCTTTCCTGTTGGTATCACTGCCAGGGGAAAGGCACAGAGGAGGCCAGGCTCGAAGACATGGAGGCTAACCGTCCTTGCAGAGGGAGAGAGCTGTAGGACGGTAGGCTCTCTCGCATTTCTTCCTCCGTTAAGAAACAATGAAAGGCAAACAAGTCATGTTATGGTGTCTCTGCTTGGAGAAAAGCGGTCCGTTAGCTTGCTAACAGCGCTTGTTCTGCAGCTTTCGGATGTGCTTTCCTGCCCGTCGTCGCCAAAAGACAAATGTTATGTGTTTTTTAATCCACACAGACAATGATGGTGGTGCTTTGGAGCCCTTTTGCCTCAGACCTGGAAAGGCTGGTTTTAGGGCATCACCGGTGTGAACCACAAACATAACACACTTTATATTTGAACAGGTGGACGTTTCCTGTCTTTATTTGAACCAGCAGGCAGTGAGTGGCCTTCAGCGTGACATGCAAGGGACACATGCACATACAAACACCGTGCAAATGTCATGCACGATGGAAGCTCAGGACAGTGTAAACATAACGGGCGCTGCAGGGGCAGGAAATGGAGCTCGGGTGTCAGCTACGTGTTAGTAGAACCAGGTTTTGGTTCTTTAAAGGACTGTTTTGGAAAGAGTCTGCAACAACAGACTCAGATATTAATCCTTCATGTTGTCACATGGAAATCACATTTTGCAGTCTTTTGTACTGTTTTTCTTTTCAGTTTTGGATTATAACCATTAAAAATCATTGTTTCCTCATGGAGGCAGTGAAGACACAACATTAAATTAAATCTATTTGTGCAGTAGGTCTGTCAGTAGTTACTTGAAACTCATCAATATAAATACATGAACAGGTGTGAGCAGGAAGACTGTGGAGGGGCTGAAGAAACACATGGAGAACTGCAGACTGGTGAGTCTGTGCATTCAGCTAAGAGCTATGTTTATACCTGGTGAATACTGGCCAGATTTTGGGATGGGAAAACTCAAAATCTTTGCTTTTTTCTAAAGCAGGTTAAGAAATCAAAAATGCAGAAGTGGAGCTAAGTTTGTTTCACAGTGATTTTCTTTCAGCTTGCTTAACACCACTTTTTAATCATGAAAACACTTGCAATGAAAACTATTTGATCTCATTATGAGCAAGTTAAACATAAATTTGAAGTTAGAAAAGCACCACAGGAATACTTTGTGTGTACTTAACCTGTTTGTATGGCTTGGTTCACAGTGTCCTCTGTGTTTTCAGTGGTGACTTCTCCTGGGAGTTGGTGCTTCTACAATGGACCCTGCCCATGTTGGAGGGGATATGTCACCCCTGTATGTGCCAAGGAAAAGAAAGTCTGTTCAGTCACAACCTAAGAGTGGAGTGTCATGTCCAGGTAAATTATTTACATCATGTTCGGTTGATGAATAATTTCACCACTTACTGTGTACGTTCTGATTTTGAATCCAGTTAAATTACACTTCTCCTATAGTTGTCCAACGAATGCCAGAAAGCCCCTGTGAACCGAGTTCAGCTGGATACCCTAAGGTCAGAATGAACATGTGCACAGAACATTTGTCCTGTTTTTTGTTTACACTATGACGTTTTATTGTTGCAAACTATCCAGCGGTGATCGGGAAAATGCTGCTGATTAAAAATGCCCGAGTGTGGATGTCCATTTCCACGTTCTAATACAGAGAATCTGTTAACTTCATGCACACGACTGGATCTCTGCTTCACAGTTCTGTACTTGAATGTTTTAGAATGACGAGTCTCAAGACCCTGATGCTCTAAAGATGAAAAGGAATTATGGAAGAAAGCGGTAAGAGACTGAGCCACCTGTTTTGTGTATTGTGTGTTTGCACAATAAACTGCATGACAGATGTCTTCTCTCTACAGTGTCTGTTGTATTTAAATCATTGCTAAGCAAATGCACATAGTTAAAAATACACAGTTCTTTCTAAATATTGGTCTTATAGATGCATGCTATTAGCTTAAAATGTGACACAAGGCACTTTTTGACACCTTTTGTATCCCTGGAGCTGTTTATACCTGCTGCATTCATCACAAGTTTAATGTGAGTTGAAATCTACTCATCACCAAATTAAACCAGATTCCATATGCAGTCTATATTTTAAATAGATTAGTTGTTACTGAACATTTAAACCTGGCATGTAGCAGATACAACTAACAAAATACTGCTAGTTTAACCCCTGAGAACTACAAATAGCAGACCACGTAGGACACTGAGGGTCACCTGACGTTCACCATGATGTGCACAGTGTGTGTGGTGTGATTCAGATATGAAGTGCAAAGTGGTTAAACTACAGCATTATGAATTATACATGGTTGGATTAACAGTATTGAATCCAAAATTAGTGTTAAACACTATACTAAAGTGTGTTGCTACACTAGAATAATATGTTTTTCATTATCGTTTCTAAAAATACAAATGTCAAATTTTTAATTTTTATCAGGTACGAGGAGCTCCAAAGTGTTTCCATAGGAACAGTAGATTACTCAACCACCAGCTGCTCAGTGATGTCATCAGGTGGCCTGGCCAATGGGGCAGACCCTGGGTCCATGGCCCCGCCCACAGCAAGGCTACCTCCGAGACTGGTGTCTAAGGATGTGTGGCCCCAAGGCCCGGAGGCCGGCAGGCAGCAGTCCCAGCCTCAGGACCAGAGCTGGAACTCCAGCAGGGACCGAGGTCATGACGCCTGGGCCCCTGGCAGAGACCAGGAGCAGGTCTGGAACTCTGGCAGAGACAGAGCGGGACACTCCAGTCAAGACCAGACATGGATAACAGGCAGGGGAAGAGCCCAAAGCGGCCCGGACCAGGCCTGGATGCGGTCCGGGATCGAGGTCCTGAGCAGTGCTGGGCAGCAGGGAGAGACCGGGGCCAGGATCAGGTCTGGAATGCAGGCAGATATCCAGAAAGAGACCGGGCCTCCTCAGGGCCAGAGCAAGGATGGGGCACTGGCCAAAGCCAAGACCAAACCTGGAGCAACACAAGCAGAGATCGAGGACTTGTCTGGAGACCTGGTGCGCATTCATACACAGTACCACGTAATAAAATATGACAAAGTGGCCTGAGTGAACAGAAGCTCCAGCGAGCGATGGTGCTTTTGGTGGATTTTTAATAGTAAATGCTCAAAGGAAATCAGGCTTAAATAATAATAGCAGCATAATAGAGAAAATATGTTTTTAGAAACAGTAAAGTGAGATACCGACTGTCCTTAGCTATTTTTTGGCTGTGGGGTTTTGTAGATTGATTTTGTTCTGCATGTGTCATTTTATAGACTTGAACATGAAGAAAGTCCAGAGAGTGGAAATGGAGCGAAGCCCTCCTGCTAATAACTTCCAGCAGCCGCCAGATGGCAGAGACTCTTGTGAGTTACCTGATGGGTTCAAACACACATCACATGTCCTGAGATCCCCTCATCCAAGGCTGGCATGCGTCTTATTCATCTGAATTTAAATGTTTCAGGTTCAGATGCAGCCATTGTTGGAGAGGCGTCGACAGCCCCGCCCAGCGAGGGGCAGAAACCTCCAGTCGTCTCCACCAAGAAGGAGCCGCCTACCTACCCTCCAGGTGCGAGCAGCTGTTGATCACTTAGCTTTAAATTTTAGCTGATATGCCATGGACTTGGACGTCATGTCAGATTATATAAAGACTTTAGATTGGCTCCTCCACCTTCTGAGATGTTGCTGCTGTGTTTAAGTCAGTAATGTCTTTGTGTGTCGGTATCCACCAGGAAGTCAAGAGGAGCGGTGGCAGCTCCAGATTGTGGCCAAAGGCAGAGTCACCTGTCCAAAATGTAAAAGTGTGAGCAGGAAGACTGTGGAGGGGCTGAAGAAACACATGGAGAACTGCAGACTGGTGAGTCTGAGCATTTAAAGCATACAGCCTTTTAGGTACTGTATATTGTCTCATGAAGGCCTTACTCATACTGTGAGGTAGAGTATAGTAAATGCTGAATACACAATCTGCTGTTGCTTTAAGAAGACAGGCACCTCTGAGGTTACCTTTCATACTACCTGCCTATATTAGGGTTATTAATTTCCATTTTCAAGATTCTTCTCCCAGGAGTTGCTATGTAATGACATGTCTCTCTGCTATAGTTTCTTGGTTTAAAGTGTGTTGATTGTACCAAATGTAAGTTAAGTCTGTTGTTTGCAGCAACCCTTTACCTGTCAACACTGTGGGAAACAGCTGAAGTCCTCAACAGGGATGAAGTATCACATCATGGCTGACCACAGCCACCTGGTAGGAATGGTGCTGATTGTTACAACCATATGATTATCTTTCATGGCATTTGTGGAGTTTTTGTTGTTGTTGCTGTGTTATGTATCATACTGTACATGTCTGAAGGTTAGTTCAGGGTGCAGGACTCTGATTTTGGCACTGGCTTTTCTCTTTCAAGCCTTCAGCAGACAATGCAGAGGACCTCGATGACCGTGCCATCAAAGACAAACTGCGTAAAATCCTGAAGAGACTGGGCAAATTAAAATGCTCCAAAGAGGTAACAGTGAGATACAGTAAGAGAAGATGAAACATTGAGGGTCCAGTGGTGAAATGTTCTTCTCGTGCTTTCTTTTCTTCTGTCCAGGGCTGTAGCGCCGCCTTCACCAGCATCATGGGCTACGTGTACCACATGAAGAAGTGTGGAAAGGAGGAGTCGGAGCTGGAGAAGATGCTGTTGAATTGCTCTCACTGTGGGAAAACGTACAAGTCCAAGGCTGGTCTGGAGTACCATCTGAAATCAGAGCATGCACCCGTGAGTCAGGTGTCATATTCAGTCTGTTGGTTCAGGAGATTCAGTCAAACTGATCAGTCAGTTTTAGCCAGATTTAATTTATGTACAGTAGCAAATTTTATACACAAGTCAATATGTATATTATAGGACAAACAATGAAATGATGTTAGCTGGGTTTCACTGGATTAAATGTGATTATTTATGGTTTATGTAGTCTTTAGCAGTAAAACATATTTTTAAATCTTAGATTATTCCTGACTAAAACCAGATTAATGCTGCTCTGTTGTATTTTTAACATCTCAAGGCCATAATGAACCTGATGAAGCTAATCCTTTTGATTCTCTCTCCCCTCCTGTTACCCAGACACCGCAGAAGACTGAGGAAGATGAGGCCCTGAAGGCCCAGAGGGAGGCCAACCCAGAGAGGACGGCCAGCGGCAGGGTGCAGCGCGCCTCGGCCCAGGTGGCGAACTTCCACCTGGCTGAGATTGCCAACAATGAACTGCCCAAAGACTGGCCCAAGAGGAAGTTTCAGTCGGACCTGGTGCCGGATGACAAAAAGGCAAGAGGAGTTTCAGTTTATGTGGAGATATTTGGAGGGTAGTTTTGTTAAATGCACCAACATAAATAATGTGGTACCATATATACAAGTATACCATCAATACACATATGTCTAGATTGACTTGTACACTTCCGTTAACCTGCTCTGCACTGGTTGTGCATGCTGCCCTTCTTAGTTGAAATACGCTCGGCCAGGCCTCCCTGCCTTCAGTCAGGAGGTGCTGAGAAAGTGGAAGAATGAGGTGAAGCTGCAGAGGAAGGTCCAGTGTCCCAACCAGGTAGGAAACACCTGTCATTTCAGATTGTGTACATTAATAATTTACTTTTCTCAGTGCTGTGTACACAGGTTGGTTAGTGGATCATGCTTATTGTATTGCATAATATTGATTATATGATATTCTGTGTATAAAATACAAAATAGGCCCTGCCATCCAGAGTGTATATATTATTATTGTGTGTTCTTTTGATATTTTTAGAACATTAAATTATCTATCTATTGGGTTTTTTTGCCATTTATTATTTCAAAAGAAGTCCTCCATATTTGGAGTTGGGGATATTTCTGTTTGTGAGGTTCCTTTGGCCTCAGTTGTCTTCCATTTGTTGGGTTGTTGGGATAACCTCGTCTCTGCCCTCCCCAGGGCTGCTGCTGCACCTACACCAGCGTGTCTGGGCTAAAGGCTCATCTAGGACTCTGCACAAGGGTACGTCTCCTTTTTATTGGTCCTCTGTTGCAGATTTAATATTACTGCACGTGCAAAGTCCATTGAATGTACAGACACTGTGCATAATGCGATTGTGGAAGAGAAACAGATTCCTAAGGTATGTTGGACTCTTTTTTTAATCAGAAACTTGGATCTACATTGACTGCCATGTAGGTCCTCAGGTGGGCTCCTATGGTTCCTCTGATACCTGGGGATGTGTTGTGAAAGCTTCTTAGTATTAATGCAGGTTGCTGCTCTTTCTGCATATGTCAGATCAATCGCCCATTTTGCAGCATCTTCCCAGAGATTATTTCCAAATAATCAGTAAAATCATAATGTCCATTCCTATGACCCCAGTGTTCATGCAGTGAACAGCTATGTATGTTCCAGGTCCTGATAATCATTTTATGTCTCTGATCCCATTTCAGGGTGACTTTGAGGCTGGAAAATACAGATGTCTGATCTGCAATAAAGAGTTTAACTCTGAGAGTGGAGTGAAATACCACATCAACTCTGTCCATTCACAGGTAATGACATACATCTCCAGAGGTGTCTGTCACCTTGTCCCTGTCTGTCTGGATTACTAAATCAGATGTTCACAGCATGGTCTTTGAAGAGTTGCCCTCCTAATGTTGTCCGATCTTGTGTTTTGTCTCCCGCTGCCTTCACAGGACTGGTTTGTGACGAACAAAAAGGCCTCCAAGAAGTTTGAGAAATTCCTCAAAAATCAGCCCAAGGCGTTTGCCCATAATACAAACAAGCAGAGTGTGGATCAGTATCATCATCACCACCTCCTGCATCAGCAGCATCACCACCACCACCACCCCCATCAACAACAGCATCAGCTCCAGCACCAGCCCCTGCAGCACCCTCTGCAGCCTCTGCATCATCTCCAGCACCAAACCCAGCTCCTCCACCCAGAGCACCAGCACCTCCCTCCACAGGTGGACACCCAGCTCCAGCAGCCAGTGCTCCACTACACCCCTCTGGAGCCTCCTGTGGGGCCACTGTGGGTGGATATGGACCAGAGAGGAGACATGCCAGGATCAGAGCAGACCCCGATCGAGATGGGAACGGGTGATGCTGAGAAACCTGGAGCGGACGGCAGTGGGCTGGTGGAGGTTAAAAGGAGAGAAAAGGGGGAGAGAGGAGCAGAGAGAGGAAAGGCTGATGGGAAGCAGAAGGACTGCTTTGCTTTTGGCAGCGCTAGTGGTAGCAGCAGCAGCAACAGTAATACTGGCAGCTCATGCAGCGAATCAGAGGTGGAGCAGCAGGACAGGCAGAGACAGATCGACCAGTGGAATCTGAAAAGGCCGGGCATCATGGAGCCCCACCCTGAGGCCGGGAAGTGACAGAGGAACACTTAAAGGACCATTAAAGTGACACTTTTCTTAACACTCGTCATCTGTACTCATGCACCAGAGCCGAGAGGCAGAAACGGAGCCTGTCGGGGTCCGTCCACACATCATTAGTTGTGACAGTGTCACATAGAAGAAAACAAAGATTTTGTTTTTCCACAAGACACAAAGGTAAGAAGGCAGCTCCTGATGTTCTGACAAAGCTAAGAAAACCTCACATAGTCGTGCGGATATGAGTCGTACACTTCTGGTTTAGGGGCTGTTTCTCTGTTCTGAAATGGTTGTCAGTGTATAGCCCTGAGAAATGTCGTTCTGCCGTTCATCTGTGTGTCTGTAATGGGTTCTTTTCACTGACTTTAAACGTCTTATTCTTTTAAAGAGTTTGATAAACACTTCACGTCTGTCATGTTTACCCTAAAGGTTGAAAGGTACTCCAACCTCCAGAGAGGATGCTACAGTATAGTATTTGATTACACTTGTCTGAAAACATTTCATGCCTCTTAAGTATGATTTATGTTACTTCATACTTCTGTCGTCACTTTTAATTACAACTGATTGACCTTTTTGGGGCTAAATATGGTCTGAAATATCAGTTTTCTGGTCAAATTCCCTGGCTTGGATTTCCTTCCTGTACCATACGTTGATTAGTGAGATTTTGACTAGATTCGGTTTAAAGCCATATATTGACAGCGGTCCATGACTGACATCGGGCTGCTGTTCTTGAAGCAAGTCTGAAGGCAACTGTGGTTACATAAGAGGATCTGTTTGCATCTGTGCCGTGGCTCCGTGCAGGTACAGGTGTTTTAAACAAGCAAGTCACATGTGAAAGGCAAAAAGGTTCATAAACATGGTTCAACACGTTGTTTCTGAAAGTGAATTGAGAAGATCAATACCGCTCTTTGTTAATTAGTTAGAGGTGTTGGTAGGGGGTAGGTTTGTACATTGTACTGCTAAGCAAGCTAAGCTAATCAAATAATTCCCTGATCTAGCCCTGTCCTTTCCACTCAGTGGTATGAAACTTCTGTCTAAATCTTGGAAGGAAAGAAAATCAGTTTACTTGTTGTGGAGGAACTTTTCCCTGGGCCAGCGAGGAATTCAGCAATGGACTGGTTTCCACTGATACACAAATAAAACATTTTAACTAAAGGTCCACTTAGTAGCTTTTTCCCAAGCTTTTAACCACATTGGTCTTCCTCAGCAGATGGAGTTTACTCTGTTGTCACTGTGTCGTTGACACTTGATAATAAATGAGCAACCCTCACATGACAGCTTTGCAAACTCAGAAAGACTGAAAGCTCTGGAAAAGCTAGTCAGTAGACCTTTAATCAAGATGTTTTTGTCAACATGCTCTTTCCATGTTAAGGATGGACCTCAGTGCTTTTTAATCAAAACATTCCAAGTAGGACAATTGTGAAGTGAATAAATCTAAAATCAGTGGGCAGGGACAGAAATACAATAATTCTTAGTGGCTAATCACAAAACACTGGCCAATTAATTAGAATGTCAGCGCACGTATGATGACATGAACGAACCTGTGGTGACTGAGCATCGATGTTGGTGCAGGCAAGTGGTCAGACTGGGAGATGGCTGATGAACAGAACCGCAGCATCCTCTGCACACAGACTGTAACACAGGTGACAGGTGCTGGAGGAAAGCTAACAAGCTTCTTACATGGAGGAAGATGTTTGTCTTCTCTGTTGATTCTTCAGAGACAGACCTGTTTGGCCAGTCTCACAGAATATTTAACCAGTAGCTAATGTTTATGTAGTCTGCATTTTGAATCCACTAAAGGGATGTATGTTATGGATGGTTGTTAGTCATTTGTAAAATGTTTAAACACTATTTTGCATATTTTTTTTACAACTTTTTTTTTTGCATTTATGACTAATTTGGTTATTGGTTTCCCCTTTTTAGTGGACTTCTGTCAAGACAGGATTGGTCAGAAAAAAATTAACCCTTTAATCTGTGAATCTCTTTATAACAAACTATGAAAAAATATTTCTGCTTCTGTTTAAAGTGCTTTACCTTTCATTGCTGCCCATCAGCTGTCTTTTGGAAGAACAGCCTGTGTTTTTAGAGATGGAAAACATCCTCATACATGGGAAGCGTTTCAAAGGGCGTGCTTTTATATCGTTGAACGTGGAGAACAGGCATTGCTCTTTTTATTCATTCCCACTTGCTGATATCTGTCATCTTTACTTGAAGTCTAGTGTTAAGCCTGAAAACGCCTTTGTTTTGGGTCCAAGCACCTACAGTGTTAGAACCAAGGAACCAGGGAGTCGAATACTGGGTCACAAAATGGGGCCCATTCTTCCCAGTAAAAGTGGCTCACTGGGCGTGCACGCCAAAAAAGATTTCATAATACAAAGAGTGATAAGATAGTTTTACAGATGTATCTTATTCTTGTGGTCTATGGAAAATGCTTTTTGGGCTTGGGGGGACTTTTTTGTTGCAGAGTTGCAAGTGGCCACTGGGAAAAAGTGGTTGAGAACGTCTGAGTGGCGGCGCCGTATCCAGCTGTCATAACACATCCACGTCCAGTGTTTGTTCTGGATTTAATCCACTGATGAAAGTGGTCCTTCAAGGCTGGAGAAATCCATTTGTCAAGAGATGTACATTAAACCAGTAGTTTATACTGGATGTATATAGCCGTTCTCTTGGCTTCTCAGTTGAGCTTTGATTTCCAAATTATGTAGGTGCTTGGACCACAGTGAGCTTTTTGTTATATTTTAGTTTTACCTTTCATTTACCCGGGATGGACTGTTGAGAGTTCAAGAGTCCAAGTTACTCTGTGTCACTGTTCCATTACGAGAGTTCAAGAGTCGAAGTTACTCTGTGTCACTGTTCCATTACTTTTGTCTTTATCGTGATGCCTATAGCTACTTGTTGCTTCATTTACTGAGTTCATTTTGACAACGTTGGAATTTGGCACGGTGGTGCCTTTTTCTTTGTTTATCCACTGTGGATGTTGCTGGTCATGCTAAATATCCTGCACTACTTAATAATTACTAGAAGTATTACTGACCACCTCAGGCAGTGCTTATTAGAATCACCTCTTATTATAGTGCAGTCTAGTATAACACCGTCACTAATTATGACCTCGGTGGTAAAATGTATAATTTTATGGTCAATCGGTTGTAGTGAACAGTTGTATTACAATAGACGTACCTAATAAACTGGCCAGTGAGTGTATGTTTATGGGTTATAACCAGGTCAGCCTCAACCCAATCAATCACACTAACCCAAAAAGGTTCTGCTATCCAGTAATTTCCCAGAAATGAAGTAGATGAGAGGAATGTGTAAAAACTGAATCTGATTTTCTGCAGCAAATTATTTTTTGTTTATTTTTTCCTGCTGTTCATCTCACAACCCGTTCATTTCATAATGTGAAAGCTTTCAGGAACAGGCTTCAGAATGTCCTGCTGCTGTTGAAGTACTTCCCACGTCCACCTATGCTTGTGACCAAATCTATACAACCCTGCACGCACTTTGAACTGTTCGAGGGCACAAAGGAAAGCATTGCTCAGCATTAAGAGTGTCTCACAAAGCGCCCTTGGTCCCTGGCCACATTTGGTTTTATCCTCCCAAATGTCAGCTCATTTAATGACTCAAATGCCATATTTCATTGGATTAATGAGTAAGGCTCAGACATTGTTTTCACTACAATAAAACTATGAAGGTGTGGATATTTTGTTAACAGTGCTTTACACCTTGTCTTCCTACTGTTACTTTATTTAAAGTAGCATTTATTTATCTTAATGCTGGAGCACAGCCCTTTTTGTTCTGTTTTTTGTATTTCATTGCCAACAGTGGTGTTGTCAGCTGCTGTAGTGACAGAATTAGCTGCATTATGTATCTGAATTTAATCAGTGGTGGCCTGAAGGAAGTCCAGATTTCAGTAGGGAGGACTCAGGATTTACATCAGATATTTTTGAAATTCAGAAAGCAGAAGTTCTCTTTAAATGATTTGGGCTTTATTTTTTATCATAAACCCATCAACCCCTGCAGGTTCTGTGTATTCAGGTACTTAGTGAACATAAAAACAAGCGTTTTGGTCTTGACCTCTTGAAGTGAAGTGGTTGTTTTTAAAGAGTTTCATCCAGTGGAAGTTGTGTTAGTAACCTTAAAGTAAAGGAGCTATGTGAGTTAATGAACAATAACGACAAACCTCTGATGCTTTGTGCCCCATCCTCATCATTCATACAGAAAATGTACAACATAAAGATAAATATATATATAGATATATAGATATATATGCATATTCATTACTAACACACATTAAAGTCTAATAATTATATATATTTACTGGACAGATCTGAGTAGAAAAGGAGTCCGTCTTTCTTGATTTTAGTGCTGGTTTATTATAGTAAATAGTTTATATTTCCTAGATTCTGTCTGTCCACAGATTGATCGCTCTGTTTGCTTGACCTGCACACCTCGTCCCTCCTGCAGCAGTGGTCCTCACCTGTCAGGTGTGTTTAGTCACGTCTTCATATCTGCACCCCCTCCATGTGACTCAGGAGGTAGAGCAGGCCGTCCCCCAACCAGAAGGTTGGCGACTCTATTCCCGCCTTCTCCAGTCCAAGTGTCCTAGAGCCTCTATTCCTGCCTTCTCCAGTCCAAGTGTCCTAGAGCAAGATGCTGAACCCCCACTTGCTTCTGATGGTGTCACCGGTGTGTGAACGTGCGAGTTCCTGGGAGTGTAAATAGTGTGAAAGCACTTTGAGAATGCTGCAATACAGAGAAAAACGCCATACAAGTATAAGACCATTTATCATACAAACTTGAGGTTGTTACCCTGGCACTTCAATGCAGTTCAGCCCTCACATCAGTGGTAAGACTAGCCTGTCTAAGGTAAAATAGAACAGGCTGAAGCAGAGGAATCTGACCTTTTATTTACTGTTTTCTTCCTATAGCTTTCTCCACTACCTTTTCATTAGCACTATGCCAGATTCAAATTAACTGGAATTATTGTTTAATTTGGACACAGCTTGGCTTGTGCTTCCCACAGTCAAAATATACAAATTCCTAAAATACCAAAAGTAAAAGTACTTGCACATTTATATTAGTGTATATCACATTATTGGATTATATTTATTGAATCATTATTGTGTACATGACATTTATGTTGCAGCTGGCAGCTAAAGGTGGATCTAATGTTAAGTACCTTTTATATTTCTAATTTGAACTGCAGCTTGTGAATTTCCCACTGAGGATCAATAAAGTCTTATGATTTGTTTTATTTGTCTGATTCTGAAAAGTATCTAGTAACTTAAATTAGCAAATAAATGTAGTGGAGTAAAAAAGTAAAATTATTTGCCTCTAAAATGTAGTGAAGTCCAAGTATGAACTAGCAGAAAATACTCAAGTAGAGTATAGATACCTCAAAAGCACCTAAATACTATAGTATTAGTTTAAATGCACTTAATATTTTTCCACACACTACAGTGCTCGAGTGTACTGCTGGTGTCATTCCACTCTGTGCTGGTAGGGGGCGGTGTGGACCACCGTGCTTGTACAGTAACATGGCGGTCTGATGAAAGCGGAATGTGAGTTTCAGCAGCCTGAAGCACTGAAAACAACGCGGATCATTATTATATTTCGCCGTCCCCGACAGAAGAACGCCCGGATTTATTTGCCTGCTATGTATCTGCTGCCCAGTTGATCTTCTACAGTGTTATTCCCGGTGGCACAGTTTGGGTCTCGATCCTGTGTAGTCGGATTCGAGCTTCCAGGGTGTTGTATGAAGCTTTGCAGCCTTCGCCACTTGGGGGGAAGTTAAGTCCCTTTGCAAGGTGAGTTTTTAACGATGCCACTGGTCGCCCCGTTAATGTCTTTCTGTTACAGCCCGATTTTAAGAGACATTTATTTAAGGACAGCGGAAGCGGCGCTACGCTCCACAGCCACTCTAGCCAGTTAGCATTAGCTATGTGGTGTTAGCTCATGTGTTAGCTGACCAGCGGAGCTACGAGATGTGTCACTGGGAAAACAAACCGGTTACAGAAGTTTAAATGACTTTCTATTTAGTATGTTCAGATTTTGAAAAAACGTGCCGAATTTATATTTAGCATAAATATAGTCAGTTTCTTTAGTTTTGTTTATTTACTGTCCATTTGCACTTGCCAGTACAGAAAAGAGCATAAAATTGTCACATTATTGAATGATGTTTGGTTTTCTCGGGGGAAAAAAACGACGCTATCTTGACGTCACGTACACTAACACACCAATAAGTATAACACAACATACATTATTATAACATTTTGTACATGTTGTGCATTTTAATATTTTGTTGGTACCATGTCTTCTAAACCACGCTTTACAGTTGTGGTGTTTTTCATTAAACAAATTTAATGAATGCTACGTCCGTGTTAATTTCCGTTTCTTGTGAGAGCAGCAGCAGATCCAGAGTGAGAAGGACTTTGTTCCCCACATGAGGAGGGATCTGAGAAGAGGGCCACAGCACATGAAACCCAGAGCTGATGGATTCCATTGACTCTGGACAAGGTTTACATCTTTTTGAATAGCTGTTATATTAAAGGCATTAGTTTGTATCTAATATAAAGTTATCATGAGAGAAAATAAGATTTTGTGGGCATGAAATAAATGGAGCTAGAATGTTAACAGTATTCTCTAACACGATGTACTGTTAATTTTTGTGGTCAAAGTTAGTGGAATTCCCTTAGGTAGTACTATAGCCTGTATACCTCTGGAATAATAACTCTCCTTACAGGTGAAGGGAACCCATCAGAGCAGCACTGGGATTTAACGCCCAGCTCAAAAGGACGACAGCGGAAAAAAAATGTCAAATACCTTGACTTTGAAACTGATGACGAGGTTGTGAATAGTGTCCAGCAAAAACAATGTAGAAAGGGCTCTAGAAGTGGAGCAGCAGTTGCCAAAAAGACTCCGACAAAGAGTCGAAAAGCTAAAAATGCTACACAACAGACTGGAGACGGGGATGAAGAAGCAGCTGACAAAACACCTCAAGGGTCTGACGGAAAAACCTCAGTAAAAACTCCTAAAACACCGAGAGCCAAGAAGACCCTTTCAAAAAGGACTCCTGTCACAAAAGCTCCTGCCACTGATGGAGGCCTCCCAACTGCAGAGGCTGTACTTGTAGATCCTGTGCATAAGGAAAATGGGACACCAAAGCCAAAGAGAAAGTATGTGAGGAAACAAGCTGTACAGAAAGCGACAGCGGTTACAGAGCCACCATGTGAGCAGGATCAGAGGGAACCTCCGACTCAACCTGAGGAGCAGACTGAGCCTGGTGGCCGCTGTCGGAGGAGTGCGGCTAGAGCGTGAGTTACCTGAAGTCTGCTGCTACATTAACCTTATGCAGCTGGGGCACCCTGGTCTTCTGCCGAGCACCACACAGATGCACACTGTATGTGTGTGACACTGGCTGTTTGAGTCTGAGAAAATGTTTACTGTCAGTCATGTTCATTTTGTTTATATATAGGCCTAAATAAAGTGTGCATATCTATCTGGCCAGTCAAGCAGTTTATGTATAGATGTATGGGCCAGAGCTTCAAAACTGAAAACTCTTATTTTGAGAAGCAGCTTTACAGGTCATTTGAAGTGACAAATTCTAAAAATTTTCCAGGGCATTGAAGTACCTCCACATTTTGGCGAAAGATGTGTTCAACCATTCCAATGAAGAGTCAGACTCCCAGTTAGGTGCCACCAGTGAAGCCATCGACACAGAACGGAAAGGTCCCCAAGGAAGCAAAGGTAGTGAATAGTGGATTTACAGCATTACAGACGCAGTGCGCAGGCAGCAGCAGAACAACATGCACTATCTTGACAAGAGTCGATAACACTGAAAGCTTCCATTTACATTACTGACAAGCTATTAGCAAGTTAGACAGACACACTGTTGCATTTCCCCCAGTCCAGAATCCTTACATCTTACATGGAGCTACTTTGCATTTGCTGTAATGTGTTGCCCCCTTTTGCAGCAATTTTCTTTCTGCATGTTCTGCAGACGGGGTGACTATCTTCAGTCAAGCTTCCTTCTGCTGTCTTCTAAAGGCCAAAATACAACCACACTTCAGACTCGGTTCTTTTTAGAAGGCTGAAAAATCTCTTAGACACCGTCACTGCCTAACACCATCAACACAAAACAAATGAACATTGCATGCTGCGTCTGGCTGACTGTTGCTAACCTTGGCTGATGCCCGACCCTATTTAAACTCTTCAAAATGGGAGTTACTCAAACAGTTACAGTTTTAGTGATAAGTAAGATTGAAACTGGTTTAATCCCAGTTTAATCCCCTATTCCCATCTGCTGCTTTTGTCTTGAAATGGTGTCAGATAAATGTGCAGAATATTGACTATCATAATGTATATCAGTAATACAATGTGAAATTATAATGTAATTGTACTATGTGTCACCCACCTGTTCTAATAGCAGTAAAAATCTTTATAAACTCTGATGTTAGCAATTCTTCCCTGCAGTGCGTAAAGGCCGCAAGAGGAAGCGTCCTGACTCGGAAGATGAAGATGAAGAGTTTGTACCAGATGTTAAAAAAGAAGAAGAAGAAGTTGAGGAGATGGAAGATGAAGAAGAGGCCGAGGACTCAGACCTGGACTCTAACTTGGGGACAAGTGGAAGAACTCCACCTTTTTTTCATGCCAACAAGAGTAATGTTAGTATCTTTTAATCTTTACCATTGAGAGAATCTTTTTGTCTTGTTTAGTCATTATTCTTGTTGGTTGTGATTATTATGATGTGGAGGCTCAGTGAACATGGAGTGATTGCAGTTAAAGGTAAAACAGCAGCGTTGTCTTTCATTTACCAGTCAGTGGTTTCATAACTCTGATCCTCAAGTGAAATAAAATGAGTTTTGCAGAGTTGGTACTACTGGACAAGAAGAAAATGCACAGAATGCAACAGCTCATACCACCTCTTTTTTTTTTCCTACAGACTTTCTCTAATGCCAAAACCGCCAACGGACTCTTGAAGAATACCATGAAAGTTGTTTGGGATTTCACTGAGACGACCAAGAAATTGTAAGAAGCTTCAGGATTGGAAACACAGATGATGCAAATCTGTTTTAATATCAAAACTTCTGCACTGACAAGTTTAAGTCGCTGCCCCCTTACTCTACTTCTTTTTGTCATGTTGACATTTCTTCTCAAATTGCAGCAGACAGTTTTCTAACCATACCGAAGCAGCATTAGAAAAACAACTGACAAACATGTTACATGTTACAGTGGTTACACTATCATGGGAATCTTGCTTTTAATTACAGTGTACATATTACACTATCATGGGAATCTTGCTTTTAGGTGTAATGGCATTATGGGAAAACTGAGCTGCCTTGGCGGAGCTTGCTCTCTCTGTTTAGTTTTCAGTATTGGTGTGTGTTTTTGATGTGTGTGCGTGCTTCCAGCCGAGAAGAGCACTACAGCAGCTGGGTGTTTCCGGAGTGGATCCCCTCCAGCAGTGTCTGGAACCTTGTACCAGAAAGGTACTTTCTTTAACCTTGGTTTGTAAGTAGTGAATTAATCCAGTTTTCTAGAAGAAGGGGCCTAAAAAGTATTAAAATAAAATCAGTTGTATGTTTAATTGGACTTTAAACTTCTGTTTTTCAGTTTGCTTGTCATCGTCTTCTATTTTGTGTTCTCAGCTCCTAACTGACCATTTAACTATAAAAAATTTCAGACTTGTTTCTGTGCTGTGTCCACTTTCCATGTCAGGTGAGACATGTCTAAAACTGCTCTTATGTAAAATAATAATTAAAGCTTTGTGTGTCTTATATGTCATTCAGGGATTTGGACAAATACCTGCCCCAGGAGCTTTTTTCAGCTGCCTTCAGAGTGTCTAGGGAAGGCCTCAAGAAGGAGGACCAGCCTCTGCAAAGACTCAGCAGGTGAGACATAAAGACCAAAAAAAATCTGAGTGACCTGTCGCAGGTTTAACAGGTTTAGATTTCATACTGATGCTTACACACTCATGTAATTTAGATCTTGACTGATTTCTTGTTATTTAAAAAAAAAAAAGTTCTCTACTTTGTGATTTTGGCCTTTTGAAATAAACTACTGCATTCACATGTTTAAAAGCTTTCTGTTTATGTAACTGAGCAGGTTTGGAGCACTGCCTGCGCACCCAGACCGCTGGGACATGTTACTGTATGCAGGCGGACCAGTCTGGGCCATGGAGTGGTGTCCAACACCTGGTGCTGCTCCAGCAACACAGTACATTGCTCTGGCCTGCCACCGAGGGATGGACGACGAGCACTATGTCAATAAGACGTACACCGGGGCGGGGCTCGTTCAGCTGTGGGACGTGGGCCAACTGGAGTACAACAGCAGGTACGGATGAACTGGAATCAAACACTTAATCAATCTAACACTTTTCTCACTATTATTAAAAAGGCTAGTCTGTGTTTGACCTTTGCAACATATTCTTTCATCTTCCTTTGCTTATCATAGATATGACTTACTACTGTCTCTTTCATGCACCCCTGTCTCCACAGACCGGACTCCCAGCCATCCCTGGCCTATGGCTTGGCTCAGGACAAAGGCTTCATCTGGCACTTAAAGTGGTGTCCTGCAGGAGGCTGGGAGCTTCCCAGCTGTGGCAGAGAGGTAAAGTGTTTTCAAAATGGACCTCTAGCATTTTAAAGCCAGTACTAGCTGGGGCTGCCTTTATACTTTGATATTGTGATAATACTGTGATAATATTAAAGAAATGAATCCCCCCCCCTCCCCAAAGTCTCCTTTCCTGCCCAGACTGGGTCTTCTGGCAGTGGCCACCTCCACCAGTGTAGTCACCATTTATAGCCTTCCCCACCCTGATGCTCTGCACTCCAGCATGAAGCTCCATCACTCTGGTAAGACTGTGAATATTATCACACCTAGCTACAGTGTTTGCTCTGTTTTGTTTTGAGCACTTATTACCATTCAGTTACATTCATTTTAACAATGCTGTAGTTGTTTTATTGTTTTCCCAAACTGTAAATATAACACCTAGATGAAGATGCTGTCCAGCAGAGGGCAGTGTTGGCTCTGTAAAGACTGAAGTCAGTATGTTGAATACCTCTGTCTCCTGTAGCCTGTGAATTTACAGCTGCCCACCAGAAAGTGAGAATACAGGAGGTTGAGAATGGGTGATTCTAGCCGTAGTCACTGTGTGCACCCCTACGAGTGATTTAGCCTGGTGTGGAACCATTTGGTCGCACAGGCTTTTCCTCAAAACTCAAATTTCACACACACTTATTTGATGGGAAGTTATTTCAAATCTGTCCAGTGAAAGATGCAGGAAACACAAGAGAGGCACCAAAATAAACAACAGTGTATGGCTTTGATGGGTCAACTTTAAAACACTATTTCAGCAATATATGAACACACTGTCTATGGAACAACCTAAAAGATGCGGAGCCTGGGCCGGTGGAAGACTGCAGTGTTTTCCCACAGATTATCACAGCCACACTGGTTAAGAATTTGTGGAAAGGAACTGTTAAGGTTGCAATAAATGATTGTTTTCATTACCAGTTATCTGCAAATTATTTTCTCTGACTATAGTGAAAATGACTATCACACGCATTTACAGCCCAGATTGACAATTACAAATTGCTCATTTTGTCTGACAGTCAAAAACCTTAGGGTATTTGGTTTACAATCATGTATTCATAAAGAGAGAGAGAGAGACAGTTTGAACCAATCAGTATTTGGCACTTCTGCTACAAAAAAACGTGATTCAAATTATAGTAGCTGCTATATAATTGTCCGTTGATTGACAAATTAATTGTCTCAGGACTAGTCTCGTAGTAGTGATTTTAGGTCACAGGTGTTCATTCATATCTCCTATTCAGTAAACCGTATCCTTGTGTGTATTTGGTGAGCTGTAAAACTGTTTAATGCAGATTTATCAATAGCAGTAGTGAAACACACACGCACTCACAGAGTGGTGTCCAGGAGTGTGGCTGTAGGCTGACCCTATAGATGATGCAGTCTGTGGTCCAGCCTGTTGAGATCACTGCGTCAGCCGCCTCTGGGACTCTACTGATACGAAGACTGTACGAATGAGATGAATGGTGGGCGTATGCGTCACATCCATCATACACAGAGCCCGATTATATGTGCGTGGGCTTGTGTGTGTGTGTTTATCTATCTGTCTGGCCAGCAGTGCAGGCTAATCTGATTGAGCACCACGCCAGTGTGAGATCACAGCATTTTGGTATAGCTCACGCCTCAAAAATAAACACACACACACACTTGGCGTTATATCCCAGTCGACAGCCGTCCTGTATTCCATTAAGCCTTATCTTGTGGGGAGTGTCTTCTCTGTAGTAGCTTGTAACACAAGGGTTGACTGGTATTTGTGTGAGTAGGCAAATGATGATAGTATTTTAATGAACTTCCTGCTCAATGTTACATTGTCTATTTATTTACTAAAAGACCAGCATCAGCTCTTGCAGTTGAGTTGGCTTTACTCGCACCCGACACCACTAGATGACATTTGCCTTGGTTGTACAATAAAAAAAAAAAAAGTGCTTCAGTTTGGACATAAAAATCTATAAAAAGCCTGACATTTTCATTTTTTTCTTTTCCCTATTGCCCCCGTTTTCCATTTTATTTTGTGGCCATGGGTCATTGGGCCCGGTTTCCATCAGCCCCCTGCTTCCAACCACAGGCTATTGGCTCAAAAGGTTGCAGAGCGCTCACATTTGAGGATATCATCCATCAAGTGTACATGCAGATGACTTCTGCAGAGAGAGACTTGGACTAACTGATTTTAGTAATGTTCAGGTTTTGAGCCAATATAGAACTCTCTAAAAGGTTTTTAATTACACGATTTTCTTCGTATTTTATTTGTTTAATTCGCTCCACAGCAACGATTTGCCATTATTTGTGTTTGGGCTTTTACCACAACTGATCACAAAACAGTTTGGACATTAACTTTTTATGTCTCTGTTTGGTTTTCTTTACAGTGGCCATGAAAATAATTAATGAATAAATTAAATCTCTGTTTGCGTTGTAAAAAAGTTTGCAGACAGAGAGGGGTCGCAGCAGCCGGACTCTGCCCTCCGTTAACCATCCACCGACCTGATACATGTGCAACTCATTCTCATAAACTAATAGTGGTGATTACAAACAAGTGGCACTCAGACTCTGCTGTCACATGTGCTTTTGAGCCGCTGCAGTTTACTCTGTGTGTAGACATCAGCTCGACTCGTCCACAGTGACAGATGGGAACATTTATTTGGAACTGGCCTTAGAGACGGGGGCCAAGTGAAAACCTTCTACTTCTTTTTGGTCTGACGTGATGAGCACTAAGTGAATGTCTCAATGTCCGTCAGTGGAAATAATTTCCATTATGATTCGGGTGAAACAGTTAAAGATGAAATTATCTTGGACAGTGTTAAACAGGCTGTGTGTGTGTGTGTGTGTGTGTCCTCACAGATATTAATACATGACCTTTGTCTGCACAGTGACCAGAATGAATGAGAGGAGAAGAGCTGGGGAGGGTGGTGGGGGGTGGACAAGACTGAAGGCAGCACGTGAGATGACGTAGTGAGCACACATAATTTACTGTGCTGTTCTCCATCAGCCGAGGATCTATAATTGAAATGACAAAGAAGATGCATCACTGAGCCAGTTGCTGGTGGTGAATTGTAGCTCCAGTAGCTGATACCTCTGGTGTCCCTATTCTGCCACTCATGGACTTACCCGAGGGTGGCATGAGGAGGGGATGTGTGGGTCGCAGGCAGGCCTTATTTAAGTGTGACCTATTTCTGTTGAGTAACCAGCCTGTTAACAACTTTCAGTGTAGGTTGATGCCTTTTAATGCTAAAATGTAAGTGTTTACAGGTAAATGTGTTCATGGTTAAGAATCAGGCTGGTTTTAGATGCAGGTTTCATTAGTATTCATGTCAATTATCTCCACATCAACACAACAGCCTGTGTATAATGCAGGCTAATACCATCATCTTCATCACAACACCTTCATCACAGCACACACAGTAGTTTAAATTTCTGCTTTAACAGGATAGTCAAGTTTCAGGTCATTAAACGTGGTGGTTGTATTTTAAATTTGGAGAATAATGGAAAACCGTTTTGTCAAGATGGCTGATCTTTCTAAACAGATTTTTCAAAAAATATTGTCATATTATGAAAATGTAGTATCTTATTTACTAACTTAATTTAGAATTGTTGTAGTTCAGAAGAGTTTAAAAGTGCAGATCTGAAAAGGTTGAACAATAGAGGGTTATAGTAATTCTGTAGTCACAATCTAATACAGTACAGCTGCTATACAGTCGTATTTTGACTTCATTCATATCAAAGGCAAAGATTTCAGAGCTGCAGTAAAGAGGCTCTGAAGCCACGTTGGTCGTTGTGAGCAGACGACAAACTCGGGTTCATCACGGCCCTTTTATTTGGTCTGGAAGAGGTAAAAGATCAGGACTTGATTTACGGCTCCAGAGGCTTATATAAAAGTGTGAGTGTGTGTTTTTCCGAGGCAGAGGTGAGTTAATGGAGGCTGTGGAGGAGGACAGTATTGATCTGAGTTCTGAGTAATTTAAAGTGGAAGAGGACAGAAAACTAATCACAGGGAACAGTATGGCACCTTTTTGTTATTGCATTATACAACTATTAAACACAGCAATGGCTGCCAGGGCAGGCACAGCAGAACTACATCTAAAGTGGTGCTTAACATCCAGTCACTTTGTGTATTCTGTCAAAAGAAACTCTGTGGATACCCCGTCCCCCTACACCTGTCCTATGTCAGATTTGAGAGGTCGTGTTCAACAATTTCTGTAACTTTTCAAAACTGACAGCCCCACACAGAGATGAGGAAGGTTTTTCCACCTTCCACTGTGACTGTTGGAAATAACTAGAACCCTTCTGATTTCTGATGAGGTCAAACAAAATGTCGTCTAGATTAGCCTTTTGTTCTCTGGAAACGCTCATTTTATAAATTTCATTGCTTAGTTTTAGTTATCATAATCACTAAACAGTTGCCAAATGTGGTTTGCCTTTCTCTCCACAGGAAACACCAGCCAGCAGTTGCCAATATACCAGGTGGGATCCTATTTAAAATGCTTGTCTCTCATTATGTCACAATCTACAATGCTTACCTTGTGGAATTATGTCCATCTAAACATTAGGTTGTGAAATAGCTTACGTGTAATTATTTGTTTGTTCCTCCCTCTCGTCTCCTGCAGGCAAAAGAAGTTGTAACGCTGAAGCTGGGCTCCTTCAAAGCCCCTCGCCATGAAAAAAGTGGACAAGTTCTGTCTATGGATTGGCTGCCAGTAAAACCACACAGTGTAATGGCTGTTGGATTTAATGATGGTATGAATTGATTTCTTGGAGAAGTTTCTGATGAAGTGCTTCAGTGTTTGCAAGAACAAACAAATCCCCTCTGGTCCCTGTGTATGCAGCTTTACTGTTACTCATAAAAACAGTGTGCTTTTTATTAGAAATACGCTTTTCTCCCTCGGTGTCGAGGGTGTCTGTTGCAAGTTTAAAATAAACAAATCAGATCTGTTGTTTTCAGTGTTTGCATCATCTCACTGTCTCTGCCCAGGTGTAGTAGGTCTGTGGGATCTGACCACGAAGTCTGCACTGTTGCAAGTACGAGAGTCTGATGGGTCCCTGAGCCTGCTGCCCTACCGATGCCTCCTAGCTCACGACCATGCTGTCCGAGCCCTGGCCTTCTGTCCTGCCTCCAGGTAAACGCGTTCGCCCTGATCTCACCTGTGTGATTAGACTGTGTTTACCGCACATCACGTTATTATCATCATACATTACCTGTGAATGTCTGTTTGAAGTCAACTTCTAGACAATCCTGGCTCAAAGGCTTGCACATATAGCTTTGTATTCACAGTGTCTGGGGCCCACATACTGTATAATAATTTCTCTAAGTAATTAATGTTCCCTTTAGCATCACTACGGTATCTTTCATGTCTGGCCAGTAGATCTGAAACTAATGTGATGAACAGCCAGGTTCTTCTGTCCATTTTTTATTATCTGTCAGTGTCGACCCTTGGTTTTCTTACGAGGCCGATCTAAAATATATTGACCTGAAGTTGAACTAAAAGTGAATAACAGTCCCACAGAGAGTCACCCTCTTGGCAGCAGACAGACTGGAGGACACCTCTCTTGTCTGGATCACTGCCTTTTAATTACACAGCCATGTTGAAGGAGCAAAAACTCTCCCTGCTCCACTTCTGCATTTCTTTTTTCTCACCTGAACAGTTAATCTTTCCCTTCTTCCCCTTGATTCTCTGCAACGAAGTCTGGTTTTCATTGTTTTGTCTTCATTTGTTTTATGACAGATTTCATCAGTGTTAGAGATCTGATGTATTTCAGTGTATTTTATGGCTTCACTATTAATAGTGACATATTCAGCATTATCCACTGATATAAATGCCCACCATTAGCTTGTGTTAAGTCATAAGTGAACACTGAAAACTCTTCATCTTTCTCTCAGGTACCTGTTGGTGACAGCAGGAGAAGACCGCTATGTAAAGACATGGGATCTCAGGAGGCTCTATGATCCCATCACTATTCAGAAACGTGGTCTGACCAATGAAATCTGTTGGCCACTGAATGCACCTGGGCTCCTGTGGGCCCAGGAGACCTGCTACGCAACGTAAGAAAACTTCTGCATGTTTGCCTGTCTTATCTTTTATTCCGATTCATCACTTTTACATGACTGATTCTCACAACAGCACTGCTGTTGCTCACATCTGTAAGGTGAATTCACAGTTTCCTACCTGTCACATTTCATTGTGCTGGTTATACCTTTTTTCAGGGCAGGCACACAGGGAGTCCATTACTTTGACCACCTCATGCGTGCCATCTTCGCAGTTCCTAGGACTGGCACACTGTGGGTGAGTGTCAAAGCATACAGTATCTGAACACAATGTCAAACTTTGTCAAAAAAACTCCCATATTTTTTTCTTATCAGTTAATCTCTCGATCACTTTCTTGATCAGCTGGTCTTTTTGTCAACAAAATGCCTCAAAAGCATCAAATTCTCATACCTGTGGAGCTGAAAGGTGGAAATGTTTGGCATCATTGATGATTTTAGATTAGATTCAACTTTATTATCAAAAGATAAAGATAAATGTACAGTATTTGCATATGAACAGTGTGCAAATGAATACAGAGCAGTATTCTGTGAGTAGAGTATGTGCAAATTAACAGATCACTTCAGTGTTCCAGGTAACAGAAGTGTAGTGCATTAGTCCCAGGAGGAGGGATGAGAAGGGGTGAGGTGTGTGTAGTGGTATAGAGGAAGGCAGTGGGGTGTCAAAGGGGGACAGAGTTCAGTAAGGAGACAGCTGTGGGGAAGAAGCTGTTTCTGGGCCTACAGGTTTTGGTCCGGAGGCTCCTGAAGCGCCTCCCAGAGGGCAGGAGGTCAAACAGGGTGAGCAGGGTGAGAGGAGTTCTTGAGAAAGCTGCGAGCACATCTGAGACAGCGTTCCCCTGTGGACACCCTCAATGGGTGGAAGTGGAGTCCCTGTGACATGTTGGGCAGTTTTCACCACCTGCTGCAGCGCCTTGCGGTCGGAGACAGAGCAGTTTCCATGCCAGACTGTGATACAGCCGGTCAGGATGCTCTCGACGGCACAGCGGTAGAAGTCCACCAGGATGGCTGAATGTTCCCACGTTACAAAGTCCATGCTTAGTAAAACCAGAGAGTTGATTTGCACATTTCAGCGAACTCCCAAACATGACAGTAACTCGAGAGAAAAGCTTTTAATATCTCATCGCTGATTGTTTTTTCTGGTTTATTGCAGTCCATATCTTACACTGATTGGTTGAACAGTGTGGTCACATCAGACACCGTTGGAGAGGTGATCTTCGCCCTGTTACCTCAGATAAAATACGGCTATCCATGCATCAAACGCACAATAGAGAGGCGCTTTGTAAGTTTTTATTTGTGCTGCTTTTTTTAAGTTTCAGCCCTTCTCTTTCTCTTTCTCTTTGTTCCTTTGTCCCAGTTTCCTTCCATCTTAAGTTTAAGATAATATAATGTTACATTACAGCTGGACAACCTGAAAGCATCTGTATCTCTTGAAATATTAAAAACATAAAAATAAACAGTTCATTGAATACAGTAGCTTTTAGTTTAGTTCACACTTTCACAGTTAAAACAAAGGGTTGAATAAAGACTAATATGAGAAGTTGCACATACTTGCTAATAAGATCTACAGTCAGGCTAACGGTCCATTTCATTAACCGTTTCCCCTCATGCTGTGTCTTCAGCCTGTCTACTTGACATCTCTGGTGCCTTATGATACAACTGAAGAGGAAAATCAAGAGGTAGGAGGAGTGGAGGAAGAGGAGGATGCTGTTGAAGAGCAGGAAGAGGGCAAGACAGAAGAAGCAGATGCAGGATCTGATGGGAATGAGAATGATAGTGAAAACAGGAGAGGAGGAGGAAGATGTAGAAAGGATAAAACACCCCCTCTGTATGTCCAGAAGTACAAAGAGTCTGTGAAGAAGTACTCTCTCCACCTTATAGACAACAATATGGTGGGTGGACATTTACTTCACACAAGGCAACATAAAAATCAAACTACAGAGTAAAATCTCACTGTTTTTAGTGAGGCTGGGTGGTACTGACCATGTGTCTGTTGCCATGAGGTGCAGATAAATATAGATAAATTCCAGCTCCACTAATAATCATCTCCTGTGACTTTCAGTGTACCTTTGCAGGAAGTGAGAAGCGAGCTTCATGGAAACACATGAAAAGCACAGAACTGAAGATGAAGATGAACATGGATGAAATGCCTTTGGCTGCACTACACAAGGTATCCATACATGCACACACACAGAGCAGTGGAGGCACCATCAGTCCTGCTGTGGCTCAGTGTGAAAAAGGAGGAAAGGGAAAGATACAGTTGAATGAAAGAGAAAAGAAACCGAGCTGAGAGGTGTAAGAAGAGTCTCTTCTCCTCTCTCCTCGTGCTCCTCCTCTGATGGGCAGCTATAAAGTCAGGCTCAGTGTAATGACGTGTAAAATGAGAAAAATGTCACCCTTGGTGAAAGAGGGGAGGGTGAGATGGAAAGTGGCCATCTGAGAGTGTGATGTGTTTAATTTTAAGAGAGGTAGAGTGGGGGGACTGTGTCCTCTGGGATGAGATGATGGACAGGCACTTCATGGGGCAATCTCAATAAACAAAATGCCACTGGGTTTTTGACTTGGCTTTGTTGTCTGAAGGAAATAAAGGGAGAGACTGATTCGAGAGATGGAAGAGGGAAAAAAGAGGTGCACCAGGCAGATTTATAGTGATGAAGATCAGCATAGAGTGACACGACAGGAAGGAGAAGGCAGGTATTGACTTACTGAGATCATTACTGAGTCATTCAGAGGAGGGAGGAGTGGACAAGACATGGCTCTGGTGTTGTGCCAAAAAGGGACTGCCAGAAACTGTTCACCCAGTTTATCTGCATGGACTCAGCTTTTGTCATGATCAAACCCTCGTAAAATGCAAAAATAATATATTAATACTATATTTAATATATTTAGTCTTAGGTGGTGGGACTGCACAATAAATCGTTGTGTGAGCGTGACTTAGATCCCTGTGCGATCTCAGTTTGACGTGACAATGATTTTGCCGTGTTTGCGTTAGCAGTGAGATGCCTTGCATCAAACTAAGCGCTCCCTTTTTCTCGCTAAGCTGCGTTAACCAGGAGGGCGCAGAATATCTTTCACCACGTTGGATTAGTTTCTGAATCAGTCTTCTCTTCCTGTCTACAGCTCATCACGTGATGTAATGCATTCCTGTTATTGGTTAACGCAGCTTAGCGAGGAAAAGAGAGCACTTGGTTTGATGCAAGGTGTCTCCCTGCTAATGTGTTAATGCAAGCATGACAGAATCATTGTTACATGAGACTGAGATCGCACAGGGGCCTAGGTCACGCTCACAAAATGATTTATCGTGCAGCCCTATCGGGTGGTTATACGTAATATTTGCCTGTAACAGATGGCGATTTGTTTCTGCTGTAGGGTTCTACTCAGCTGCTTTATACTCTTTAGAACTGCACAAGATTGATATAAATGTATTCTGATGCAGAAAACCAGTTTCAGTATAAAGATATGAGCTTTGATCACTTTCCACTAGAAGAATGCTACATTCTACTGGTTTTATGTAGAGGTGTACTGGTTGATGTGATCGACGTGATGTTTTCAGTCATCTTCCTCCTCTCCTCAGGTGCGTTTCAACCCAAACATGAACTGCCATACGTGGGTGGCTTCTGGAGGCCAGGCAGGGCTGGTCAGACTTAACTGTCTGAGAGGTATGATCAGCCCTCAGGCCAAGAACTTGATAAGTAAGAACCAGGATCAGTTCAGTGGTCTGGACTCACCACAAGACCAGGGGGAGGCTGTCCAAACTGAGGTGGATCAGCTATAGCAAGAGCTCAATGCCACCACAGAATCAGAAGGTGGATCGCACTGTGTGTACGACTGCACACCAGCAAAAAAGTATTTTATGAGTGACAATAACTTTTTCAAGTGCACCTACAGTATGTTGTACCATACACATTTGCTGTTTATCAGCTGGTTTTTATCCTGTTTCAGGTGGCCAGTAGCCAGGAATGGTTTAAAACTAAACATCAATTCTCATGTACTCATATTCGTTGGATAAGTTCTGTTCTTCTAGCTGAAATAATATTCATGTTTTGAGGAACCAGAAGTAATCGTCCTCCTTTAACCACCTCCGCTGTCTAAAACCATTTGAACTCACAGTCACAAGCTCAACAGAGAACTGAGCAGCAGGGATAGATTTCCCAACAAATGTCACAGGTTTAATATTTCAGTTCTCTCTGTCGTTATAATAAAACTTGAAACCCAAAGCAGTTTGCACCTACTGTAGAAGTTTTTGATTCCAAGTAGGTCACTCCTGGTTTTTGTGGTCACTCCTGGTTTTACTCAATGATTTTGCATACAAGTTGCAAATGGTAAACATGGCAGTGCAGCATGTTAGAAATGCAAATTGCCAGCTTATAAAATCAGCTTTTGTCAGGAAAAGCAAATAATAGCTGGCTGCAGTTTAAGTGATGATGTTCAATTCATAAATCGTTGTACATTAAAAAGAGGTTTTGGACATTGCCGTTCTCCCATCAGACAGTGGTGTTCTTGTAAGCCTAAAGAAAATCACCTTAAAACCTTGTTAAGTTTTCATACATTGTATCTGCAAACATGAAATGTTGTATTCATGACATTCCAGTGCTGTTTGTCAACATCTGTGTGTTCTCGTTAGGGAAAGTGCGCAGCAACAGGAACGTTGACATCGTTTGTTAACTCGTCTTATTGACAACTCCTCTTTTTTTTTTTTTTTTTTTTTTTTTTTCTTTTTTTATCAAAAAATTTTTTTTATTTTTATATCGCACTTCCTGAATCTTCCCTCACTTACACTGGTGATGTTTTAAACTACTAAATGAACAGAGTTTTAAAACATCACCAGTGTAAGTTTGTCAAAGTGGAGGGCGTCTTTGCGCTAATTTTTACTGCTGTTGTTTTTTGTAGATAACTACTCAGGTTGTACCTGAATACTTGAATATTTTTATTGTAATGGATGTATTTTTAATAAACGGGAAAATTTACTTTCTTTTTTCTTTACC